AAAAATCACCGAACAGTGTTGCCAAGTTCCATTTTCAAATGTAAACTTATTTTGAGTAAAATGTACTAGAAAAAATCATTTTATTTTTAGGATTTTATTTTTTTGCTCGATATTTTTCGATAATAAAATTCAAGTATTTTACCATTATGCAATATCCTAATTAAACGCACCAACTTTTGTTAAAATTTTACCACACACTTTAGTACATTTTTTTCAACAAAGGCTTCTCATGGTTGTAATTATAAAATTTTTTAATTTACAGTTCAACTAAAATTGGCCTTCAAAGCTTGAAGCAATTGTGGCATTATTTTTGATCAGGGTTCTATTTAAGTTATATATGGCTTCGGATACAAGTTTTAAATGATTGAAATTAGTACAAAATTAACCACAATAACCTAATAATACTGTATAAAGCCGATTGGCTTATAAATAAATAACTTAATAATGATCAAAGTTTTACCAAAGCTCCTGGTTGCACTTTAAAGCTCAAGCTAACGTTCAAATTACATAGAATTTTTCTGGGGATTTTTTCTTAATACATAGATCAATCGACCAATACTATCACCCTGTTTTGACTTGAAGTTGAGTTCTGGGACACCTGGTATATATTTAAAAAAATAAATTGATTTAATTAAGCAATTTTAATTGAGCTGAATTTACACAACGAAGTTGATTGTTACCTGATTAAGAATCGTAACTTACATGTTCATTGATATTGTAACATCCATTTACATTCAACAAGTTTTAGTATGAACTAGTGAGTGGCAAGTACTAGTCTTTGGAAAAAATAAAATTCACAATATTATACAATATTTAGAATGCATTACTTAATTAATATAAAACATGTGAAAAATACAATTTTAGCAAAATTGTATATGTGTATTATCCGAAGCTAGATTTTTTTTATCATCGGGTCATAAAAAGAGATCAATGGTAAAGATTTGGCACCGTTGTGGAATTCGCGCGGTTTATGAATGTTTGTTATCATTTTATTTATTACTTTTATCTTCGTGCGGGATTTACGAATGTCGATTATTGGAACTGTGTTCAAAATAAATCTCGCTTTTCGAACATTAAAACGCACATTTTATGAACTTTACGCGTATCGGGCGAACGCAAACATGTGCTTCAGGATATATGGAGTTTCATACAAACATGTGCTACATATCTGTGGTGTACGAACATTTCTATAACTGACTTACACACACACATATATATATATATATATATAAATATATAAATATATATATATATATATATAAGCCAGGAAAGTTCAGTCTTTTGAACAATGAATTGCCATTTTCTGCACTTTTTGCTCCTGGACCTGTCTTCGCCAGAAGCTAACTAACACACGCCTCATCGTTAATAGGAATCGAATGTTTCTAGAAAAATTATAGCGATACATATATACATACATAGGGACAACATACACATATACGCATATAAACATACAGCATTTTTTTCTAAGGGAGGCCAAATGTTCAGTAGCTTTTGAAACACAAAGATAACCAAAAAAAAAATCATTTTCAAAAAACACTGTGATATTTTTTGCAAAGTTTCGAAAATAACTACGATGGATTATAAGGCTGACTATAAAAAATAAAATATGTACATACATATAATAAAGTATTGCTTTTGATTAAAAATAAACAAATAAACAATATTGTGCTAAGGTCAGTATGTTAAAATCTATAAATTCTATGTATATTTTTATTTTGTGAATATTAGAAGGTTTGAAGAAAACAATATTAAATCTAAGAGTTGAATCTAAAATGAATCAACTTATTTGCACACAACTGTGAATAGAATAAATAAAAACTTCCATAAATACTATAATACTAATACCTATAATACTAATACTAATAATACTAATATAAAAATTGATTGTTGCTCTAGCATCAGGATGAAATTTCGAATTATATGTGTGTTTATTATTTTGAAATTATTTGTTAGTTATAATTGATTTTATAACTGGTTCATATAAATAATTCATATATCTGAACAGTGATATCCCAATATTTGTTTCAAAATAATGTTATTCAAAACAATTATAATAATAATTCTAGCAAAATTAGTATAAGTAATCAATTATTAAAATATTTAGATATTTGTGGTTTTTTATGAACGCATGTTTATAGGGTAGGGCTGGGCACAAAGATCCAATATGATATTGAGTAATTATATTGTGTCAATTATATAACAACAAATAACACATATCAAACGAACAATTATTTGGCTATGTTCAGTAATCTTCTCAGCTAATTTATCATTGTAAAAATGTGTTTTTTTGCTGTTTTTTGCTGTTTTTTTCAAAAAATTTTAACCTGTTTTTTTTACCCCATAGGCGGGCCAAACGTCCATTGTCTTATTTCAATTTCAAACGGATATAACAAAATAATAAATATGAATTTAATGGGTGCATTTTTTACAAACAATAACCCTGATCTGGTATTTCGTCAAAAATATTCATCAGGAGAGTTGGAATAGCTATTCATTGACTTTATCTTCGGTAAAATAGCTATCTTCAACTTAATTTACTTTTTTAATTGCTATGTTTTATTTTTTACACTTTTGCCAGGGTAAAAGGTTCAGTTGGTCCTTTTTGCCACACACGGGTGTATGCTTTTGAAGAGGTTGTATAAAAAATGGAAATTGTTGAATCTAGCTTAAAATTAACAATACATCTTATAATACAATCATATCACGTATACTTAAAAATTATATTAAGGTTTTGTAAACTAAATCACAGTGTTCGCAACCAAAAAAAAAATAACATTGAAAGAAAATACTTTTATTATGGATTTTCAAAAATCAAGGTGATGGCTAGTTATACAAATTTCTCTCTCTACTTTAAAAATATTGTTGTTAAAGAATTCTCAACTTCACTGGGTTTTGAGAAATCGCTGGTGGACCTTTTTACCCGCTGAGTTTTGATCCCCGCTCTACCCTATGTACATACATATTTCTAGAAATTTTTCATTGCATGTTTTAACATGATTCATCAATACGTGTGTCACAACCATACCGATAGCAATCTACTGAAATATTAAATCAATACTTTTGTATACCTGTTGTATAGAAACATTGTAAAGGCATACAGATACATATTATCATACATATCAATTTATACAAAGGTATATTTTTAAAAATGAAATTTTGCGAATTGAATTTTATTTTATATTTTATATATATATATATATATATATATATATATATGTGTTTGATTTAAAATATTGAATAAGGTAAGACATTTTCCATACAGGCCCAAATATCTTTAGTGAGAATTTCCTAAATATTATATAATAAAGTTTTCGAATGCCACGCACGATTTCCGCATTTTCCGGATAGATTTATAGACATATATTTTCTCTTCAAATAAACTCAACACTATGCCGCCTGTCGTTTTGGGAAACAGATGAAAAAGTTTTCCACACGAGTTTCTTGAGTTTTCTCAAAATTGTTTGACATATCATTCCATCAAATGATCCTGTAAAGTTACTTTGTAAGTGTTTTCTTTTATATAAATAATGTATTTTATATAATTTGTATCAATATCAATATCAGTTTTAATATTTTTGAGATGTGCAGACTGATAGTCTGGTAGAATTGTAATTGGATAGACAGGTAAGCTGGTAAAGAAGTATATTCGTAAACAAATAGATTATTGGACAGGTAGAAAGGCATACAAAATGACAGGTAGACATGTAAATAAGTAATCAGTAGGCAAGTAAACGGGTAGACAGGTAAACAACTATACGAGTAAATAGGTAGACGGAAGTAAATGTAGAAAGGTAGTTAGGTGAAGAGGCAGATAAGGTGAACAGGTAGACATGTAAATAATATATAAGGTAGGAAAAAATCGTATTTAGGCGAAGTTCAAGCAATTTTTTACAAAACAAAATTCCACTCCCAACTAGTTAATTTTTTTTATTTCAGTCAGTATTAAATTTCGATCTTCGAAAACCACGTAACAATATATCGTCTTAACATTAGGTTTTTGGGCAAGTTAAACTTTTAGTGACTCACTGTATTTTTTCTAAATTATTTTTTTTCTTTTACTGTTTTATAAATACTGTATAATCTTCGGTTGTGAGTCAACTTTATCTCATAATCAGTTCTCAAGTTCAAACATGTTTAATAAATAATGTTTTTTAATAATAATTGATTAGAGATGTATATAATATATGTGTTTAAAAATAATGTATAACATTTCGTCGTGAATCACACTTTATCAGTTTGTTTATTTAATCATTTTTTATAATACTAATTGAATAAAGATTTATATAACTACTATCACATACTGAGTGTATGATAATCGATAATGGGTTTACAAATAATATATAATATTTCGTCGTGAGTCATTCTTTATCTCGGTTTGCTATAAAATTTAAACATGTTTAATTAATGAACTTTTATAATAATTGAACAGATATGTATATTACTACTAACACATACTGAATTTATAATAATTTCATTTTAATTGGAATATGGCAGCTGAACTTTTCATAAGGATGACGAATGCACATCAATTTCATTTATAATTAATTCTGATAATTATCAATATGATAAATAATTGAAATTGGACGAGAACATCTAGTTATTAATTATTATATATTGATATCATATAATTACGTATCAATACAGCAGTGATGTAATAAATTTGTAAATTTATTAATGCGCAATGTTTAATTATAATTGATTCTTCTGTTTGTTTCAGGTTTAACATATCGATCACAAACTTTTGGGATTATGCAGTGTTGAAATTGTCATTTCGGCTTAAAATGTGGCATTTAATTATTCAATTTATTTAATTTAAATATTAAATAGTATTTATTATGAAAATGTGACAATTGAATCTGAATATGTATCACAAGTGACAGTAAATAGTGGTAATTCACTATGAGAAGAAGTCAATTTTGCAACGTGACATGAATATTTATTGAAGTGATTTTTGGTTAATAAATATTGACTAGTATATATAATAATTGTGATTAATATAAAATGTGATATCTTGAAAATTATAGCCAAAGGATTTATTTTTGTGCTTCGAAATGAGGTACGTTTCTGCTTGGAACGGATTTCTGACCTTAGCCAGCATTTTGCTGGCTATTAAGCCGAATGGAGCAATGGACTTGGGTAAGTGGAGATATCTATTTATTATCTAATAATTAAATTCCTATAATAAAAATATCTTTAAAACATTATTAGTACAAGCCTACCGACAATTCATGTATACCTATAACCACGGCCCGCGGTCAAATTGACCTACAAATAAGATAAGATAAAAATTGATATGCTGTTTAATGTATATAAAATAAAGAAATTTTCATCTAAATTTATTTTTATATAATTTCTAAAAGAAATTATTCCGTCTTATTGCAATATCATATATATGATATGTCATATATTTATTCCCTAACTATTTAAATATAAAATCGATGCTATTTCATAGAAACCTCAAAGAGAACCATTGATTGCAATATCATCATAAAAATACTAATCCACAAAGAGACCATTCACTGCCTTCGGAATATCAAAGTTAGCATAATTTATAAACGAGCTGATTCCAGCTCATTTTTACCATTACTAAATGAAATGCTTGTTCGAGTTCTTCTGAACTGGAATATTGCCAACTATTGGGGAATATTTTCTTAACAAACTTGAAAGATTTGTCTGAATGTTTTGTAATAATACCATAGTTAAGTGGTCTTAAGAGTATGATGAGTCGGGAGATAAATGGTAAATTTATAATAATTAAATGTTTCAAATAAAATACATTTTTAACTTCTCTTAAGGAATTAACTTCCCGTATGGTGTGTTTTAGTTATGAGCCGAAAATCAAAAATGAAAATGATTGCATATCTTCAAGTTTCAGAGGTTTCTGAGCGTTTTGATGTGATTCAAAAAAGCTTTCTGCTTGTTTTGACAAAATAGTTGCTTTTGGAAAAAAAATATTTTAATTTTTTCTTTCAAATTTTTTTTTTCAAAAAAAAATTTTTTTATATCGAAAATAATTCAGATTTTAGTTTTAATTCTGGCTAAAGTTCTAATGATCACTTACATACTCCAAATCAATAATTTTAACTTTGCAATTAAGATTATATAATTTTATAAATATTAGGCAATGTTACAGTATTAATAATAATCTATTTGAAAACATATTGTTTTACGGTACGGAAAGTTCCAGCAATTTGCCTTAAGGCATGATGCCACATACCACTAGTTACATTTTATATTTGTAATTTATATTTTGAAATGTACATTCTAAAAAACTAAATAAAATATTGAACTTGTGCTACTCTCTATATAGGGAATATTTACGAAATATTTCTCGTTTCTCGGCGTTTCAAGCCATTCTGAATCGAATGAGACCAAATTTGGAAAAAGTATGTTTGCATGTGTGTGTGTGTGTATGTGAGCAGATTTTTGGCCGTAAATCGACGTTTTCTCAAAAACCGTTTCGAAAAGACCGTTTTCAGAAATTTAGAAGCCATTCGATGTCTCGCAATGAGGACTATCGTTTGTCAGTTTTGCGCTACGATCGGTCGAGCCGTTTTTTGTAAATCGCAGAAAAGTGAAAAAATTTTCGACCACGTTTTAGCCCGCAATTCTGAAAATTCAAAAACTGTTCGAAAGATATTCGTTGGGAATCGTGCTGATTTAGTTTTTGGTAGAGATCGGTCGGGCCGTTTTCTTGTAATAAAGTGTTAAAAAAAAATTTCGACGATTTTTATTATTATTTTTTGACGGTAGATACCATAGTCTTCTAGATCATACTAAAATTTTACGGCTCTACGACAACTCGTTTAACTTTAAAAATTCGTCAAAGTTTGCAAAAATTGGTATCGTTTTTTGGCATTTGTCAAAATTAGACCTTTCATCGACGTTTGTGATTAAACTTCTCGTCCACGTTTAAGCTCAAACTACCGAATCAATTTTAGAAAATCAAAAACTGTTCGAATGATATTGGTTGGAAATGGTACTGATTAGTTTTAGGTAAAAATCTACCAAACCGTTTTCTTGTAATTAACTGTTAAAAAAGAAATTTAAGCCGATTTTTATGGAACTTTTTTTGGCGATATATATCATGGTCTTACAGAAATTACTGAAATTTTGCGGCCTTACGACAAGTAATTTAATTTTGAAAATTCATCAAAGTATGAGAAAATGAGTTATTTTTTTGACGGTTGTTAGAATTGAAATTAGGCAATTTACTTGGTATAACGATAAAGTACTTGGTCTTAATCAGTGCTGGATTTACAGTAGGGGCAATCGGGGCTACTGCCCAGGGCGGCAAATTTTGGGGGGCGGCAAAATTTGGATAGTGAGAAAAAAATTCTATACAATAAACTTTTTTTCAACAACATTTTTTATTTCAAGAAATATAATTAGCAAAACATAATACGATTGCAATGCAAAATTTGGGTTGAAATAACCGATAACCAAAATTTATTATTTTGCCCTGCCTTCCTCTCCGAACGTAAATTATCAAATTGGTTAATAAGTTATCAAATTTGCCAATTTGGCTAATAAAAAGATCCGTAAACAAGCTGAAAGTTTAAGAAAAATATGTTCTTCAGTTCTCGAGCCCTCTTAAAATGACGAATTTGTGCACTTCCAAGCTTATAGCGTCGAAAAAAATTTAACTAGTAACTCATGGCATTGTGCCTTAAGAGTTAAGACAAATTGCTGAAACATCCCGTACTGAAATTTTTGAAAAATGAAAATAAAACTTTTAAAACACATTTTTTGCATTTTGAAATTTTTCGAAAATTATGAACTTTTTGCAAAGCAATCGCACTGCGTAGCAGTTTCAGAGAAGAAATATCGAAACTCAATTACCATTTTTCGTAATTGCCTGTGCCAAAAGCTAATCAGCACGTCTCTCCATCAATACAAATCTAATATTTTTTAATTATTCAAGTCGATTTTGAGAACACGGATCCATCAATTTAAATGATTAAATTCCTATTGACAAGGAGACGTGCTGATTACTTATTGGCCTAGGCAGGTCCAACTGTTTTGAAGACGGGCCAAAATGCCAAAAATGATAATTCAGTTTTTGAGAAAAAAAGCGTCCAATATATCATTCAAAACAAAAAACAGAATGAGTAACTGCTTAAATTTGTGGGGGGCAGGCTTTGCGGTTTCCATGATCCATTAAAAAAAATTGAAAAAGAAACATTTGGCAGACAAAAGTGATCATAAGACATATGCACATTAGATTATCAGAAATTTTAAAAATATTATAATAATAAGTATAAATTTTGTTTACATTTATATGCGTTCTGTAACATTGTTTATCCGTTAGACTGCGACGCGGCGCTTACGCGCTTCTATATTTTGTCTCTACGCAGCTGAAGCAGCGCGATTGCTTTCAAAAAAGTTCGAAAGTTCGTAATATTTCAGGGATGGGGCGGCATTTTTGTCAGTGCCCCGGGGCGCCAAATTTCTAAATCCGGCCCTGGTCTTAATGAACATACTAAACCATTAAAGTCCTATGGAAACTGGTTCAATTATGAAAATTATTGATTTTTGAAAATTTGCTATTAGAAAATACTCCAAGTTAACGAGTTTGTTCGTTTTCAATTATGTGTTATAAATCCACTCGAAATACTTTTAATCACTCATAAATTAATTCATATTTTATTGATTAAATCGATTAGTTGCACATATCGGGAAGTTTATGTAACTTGCCTCAAGGCAAAATATCATTACCAACTGGTTTCTCTTTTTTTTTTTGAAGAAATGTATTAAAAAATAAATGAAAACATGTAACAAAATAAAAAAATGTGCAAAAAATATTAAAAACTGCAAACTGCTTTTTGAAAAAAAAAATTATGTATGTAGTTATTTTTCATTTGAAAAATGAGTAATATAAAAAAAATGACCAAAAACATGTAGAAAAATAAAACAATATGCAAAAAACTTAAAAAAAAATGCATAGAAATGTTTAGAAAACGTATGTAAATGCTTTTAATTTTTACAATACTAACTATATAACAGTATCAATACTGTAGCAAAAAACATATTTAATGATATAATTGTAAAAACAATACTAACTGTCGTAATTATAGGAATGAAGAACTTACAATATTAATTGTTATAACTATTGAATTAACGAGAATACAAATCGCAATAATTTGTTATATACCAGTATACCACTCTAAGTGCAGCACCTATAACGACAACAGCAACATTTACAATTAAAACTTTCATTTTATCATAACACTTTTACTAGTGGTCGTCAATATTTATTACCATCAGATATTCGGAGTGCAGTCGTCGTTGCAAATGACCACAAACCGAGCGGATTGGAATCACAAGATTCATATCCCGAACTCATCATCTGGTAACAGTGGATCAGTAATGACCCTACTGATGACGAATTTACCAGTGGCGAAGTCTTAGATTATATACTATCATGATCGCTATTGCAGAACGTTTTTTGCGACTGTGGAAGCGCTGTGGCGCTATCTTGTAACGGAACGTCGAAGTAAAGGAGATATAAGTTCATTTTTAATTTTAGTTCAATACTTTTATTTTATTGTGGTTTTTAATAAAAATGTTGATGGTATATAATGGTATTTTGATGTTAGAATGATATATGTATATATATATATATATGTGTATATATATATATATATATATATATATCTTCTATATATATAAAAATAAGTCGGGTTTTCCTTTCTGACGAAATAACTCCAGAACGCACAAATCGATTTTGACAATTTTGCATTCGTTGGAAAATTCTCCGCAAGGTTTATAGCTAAGAAAATTAGTGGTGCATGGCATCGTGCCCTAATGCAATTCTTGCCGCAAAGAATAATGATGTACACGCACTAAATTTCACCATTCAATCAAAAATTGCTGGCGATTTTGTGACATACCAATGATTCCGACTGGTCTTCCGTTTGACTTCAAACGATTGCAATTTCCAGTTCGCCTTACGTTCGCAATAGCAAGTCGCAAGGCCAATCGCTTAGTGTTTGCGGGATAAATTTCAAATAGATTATTTAGAAAATCATTGTCACATGGGCAGTTATACGTTGCCTGTTTACGAGTTGGAAAACCATCCGCTTTGTTTGTGTTAACGTCAGACCAAAAAACAAAAAAATGTGGTTTACCAAAGA